CAGCTCGACCATCTAGCCATAATACTACTTTTAACTAACTTTTAAGTAGTTAATGTCAGAATATCAGACATATAAATCACTCCTAACTAGAGTGAAATATTGAAATATTCAGTGTGAATCATCGTTTTCTTCACTTGATAACTCTTTTTGGAGCTCAGTACTCCCAAACGATACAAGAAATCTGAATTTTCAGGTATTGGTTTTTGTAGGGATTTCATCATGAGCAGACAACAGTTAGAGAACCATTGGAGAACCAACTGGGAATACTGAACAGCCGTTTCATCCGCCTAGTTTGGGACTGTTCATCAGTACGCACCCACCGCCAGTGTTCGAACCCAGGACCTTCTAGGTTACAAGGCAAGTGAGCTCGTAGGCCATTAAGCCACTGGGATCCGATCTAATGGCAAGCCCATGAATTCCAACTTCTACCAATTCATTACATAGCGCAAACACTTGTTAGTGTCCTCTTCGATTAGTAATCGCCATCACCTTCGACCTGTTGAGGAGTCCAAAACTAGCGGGACGAAACAGCCGTCCAGTTGGTTTTCCAATGCTTCTCTTTCTGATGTCAGCTCATGATGAAATCCTTCAACGAATCAAATAAAATCCCTACAAAACATACTTGAAAACTGATCTGATGCTCACTAGCAACTGGCCCTATTCAGGCAGTGACCTGGGGTTCCAGTGGGAATACATGACCAGTAGAGTACAACAGGTTGGAGGTGACGCAGTAACTCATCGGAGAAGACGTTTCGAAGTGGTGGCGCTATGTTTTGAATTGGTAGAAGTTAGAATTCATAGGCTGGTCACTGGATCGGGTCCCAGTGAGTGGCTTAATGGTCTACGAGCTAGCTCGCCTTGTAACGAGAATTCCCTGAGTTTGAACCCAGTTGGGGTGGGTGTATACTGCTGAAGAGTCCCAAACTAGAATGACTCAACAGCTGTCCAGTACTCCCAGTTGGTTTTCCAACGGCTCCCTAACTGATGTCAGTTCATGATAAAATCCTCTAACAAATGTGAATTTATTTATTAATTCACTACGTTACATTATTCGTTATCTACTGAGAAGAGTCAGTGACTTGTTAAATCTACCTATCAAGGAATTGATGCTTTTTCAGGGTATTAGATTGTGTAAATAAACTGAGATAGGCGTTGTGAACAGAGTCATTTTGTATTTCAAAACTCTATTTGGCGCCTGTTTTTATAAATGCTGCCACTCACCTGGATTGTTAACTTCCCAGGGTTTTCACATGATCATTAGAACTGTATATGACATAACACCGCGTAACACTTTTTCATTGTGTGGTGTTTAAATTCACACACACACACTGTCTCTCTGGAACTTTTCATTATAATAAATATTCTAAGTGACTCTGTGTAAATAGATTCAATCGTATGTGTATTTATATGGCTATAAATACGACGATAAGGAAGGAAGCAGAGTCATTAAAGTGTTTAACTACATTAATTGGCCAAATCGGTCGTAGAATCTCCGCTAGATCTCAACAGAGTCATAAACCAGTGGTTCCAAGTTATGTTTTCCATCACAAAGGCACAAATTCGTCCTGCAACTATAATCTTCTTATCAATCGTTTTACCTTTTGCTTGTTTAATTTTCGCATCTAACGTTTATTCACTATCGCATTGTTTGCGTTCTTTGGTCGCTGATGTAGTTGTTGCAATGTAATTCGTTCTACTGATAGTGGATAGTAAGTAGAGTAGCAAAGACGCGAATTGTTTGAAACCTGGCCTACCGAAATACCGCATTATTAAATTGCATGTAATATCTTTTGTTCAGTTTGTTTCAATCCATTAGATTGTGAACCCTAATAGTGTCTTCTTCTCTCACGAGTATTTAAAACGTCTACGCCCTACTGATTCGTAAGTCTTTACTAAACTTGAAAAAATTGTGGATGGCGACGTATCCCAATGCATCAGATAATTTGAAGTAATAATTTGGTAGATGGTAACTAGCAGTGTAATCCAGGATGCGCACTTCTTCCTATTCGAGGCTCGTCATCTGAATGTACCTGTGTACCATATAGGACACAATGAACACTCTGGATTTCACTGCCAGTCACCATCCACTAAATCACTTCAAGGTAAATCCTCAGACATCGTCTTGGCGTCTGTACAAAGAGTCGACATGCTAACAGAGGTCGAGCACTTCGGTCCAATCAATCAACAGGAAATTCCAAATTAAACTAGTTAACATCAGATAATTGCCCCCCTACGTTTTTAGTACAAGCTGGAACTGTCTGAGAAATAAAACTAATTTCCTGAAGTCTTCAATTATTCAGCTATTATTGAGTCCTTGAGTCAAAAAATGTATTCCTGCACCTTTTTTTGATTGGCTTCCAATCAAATGTTGTGCATTTTGCGAAGGAGGCAAAGAAGCAGTATCATAAAAGTCAGGTCAGACAGTGGCGTTCCATACGTTTAACTGTCAGCTACTACTTTACTTGAAAATCCTGTCTGGAGAGAAACTATTATGCAATAATTTCCGCTGAAAATTCTGTACATTATATAAACACTGCTCAGAATAAAGCTATTTTTATTATTATCGTAATTTATATGCCGATGGTAAAGACACTGAGCAAGAAATGTGAGAAGTGGATTGAGACACCAATAAACAATAAGAACACAATATTCAGCAAAGAGACCTTTTCAACGAATTTATTATCAAGTGTTGGTTTGCGGGGATTTGGTTGGTTACAGGATTTCATCATGAGCTGACATTAGTTAGAAAACCATTGGAAAACCTGGGAGTACTGGACGGCTGTTTCATCCTAGTTTGGGACTCTTCAGCAGTACGCAAACTAGAACGAAACAGCTGTCCAGTACTCCCAGGTTTTCCAATGGTTTTCTAACTTATGTCAGCTCATGATGAAATCTGTAACGAATTTATTATCAAGCTGTACAATCGTTATATATATATGGTTTTTTAAGAAATTATATCCGGTGAGGGAATTAGGTCAAAGGTGTGAATACATGAAATAATAATAGTATGAAATGCAATTAAAATATTTGTGATTATGATCATAGTTTTATTTTCTGTAGTTTGGTTTTGCAAGGGTTAGTTATGTTTTTACGAGTTGATCACGGATTGATATCAGTTAGAGAACCATCGAAAACCAGGGAGTACTGGACAGCTGCTGTTTCATCCTAGTTTGGGAATCATCGGCAAAATAATTAATGTCATGTATAGAATAATTCATAAGGTGTATAGCTTTGGGAAATGGGTACATAATTATAAGATTGGTAGACGAATATAAAATGTTACATAACATGGTGTGAAATTTGACACGATAGAACTCAATATTGTCAAAATAAAAATTAAAAAAGTATAAAAACTAATAATTTTCGGTTTTAAAATGTCAAGTGGGTCATGTGGAAAAGATTCAGAGTGAGAATAATAATAATAATGATAGATAGGTATCTATGTGCATCCATGTGCATCTATCAGTTCACCTGCTCTTGTAGAGCAAGGTACATTGGCGGTAGTCAGAGGACGCTTTCTACACGGGTACGAGAACCTATTCCAGTACGGTTTTACAAGGCAGAAAGGAAGTGTGTGTGAAGCTCTCTTCTAGAACACCTGATCGACTTCTGTCACTTTGTCAACCCTGCCCACGATTTCAAGATCATCTACATAATCCAGGTTTACTTCCCGCGTTTTCTTCGTTACAGACTTCTAAAGACAATTCATGACTTTAAGCCAGACCTTTGTGTACAAAAGAAGTATGTACAATCCCTACTTCTGCCTTGGCCGTAGAGGGATAGACATTTATTTATTTTGTTTATTTAGTTATTCTATGTACTTTTCCCTTATTACTTCGATTATTATTATTACTATTCTCCCTCGTAATCTTTTCCACTTGACCCACTTGTCATTTTAAACCCGAAATTATTAATTTTTATATTTTTACAATATTGAATTCTATCTTATCAAATTTCACAGCATGTTATGTAACATTTTATATTCATCTACTAATCCTATAATTATGTACACCTTTCCAAAATCTACACTCCTTATGTATCAACAGTGGTGTGAACACGGGCAGTAATTTTGCTCGAAATATTACCAATAACAAAACTTATCATTGTGTGTAAACTATTAAAATATACGTATATGTGATAAAAGTTATAATACAATCTTTAGTATTTTTGTAATTTATCCACTTCAACTCTACCCCTTATAACTTTTATCACGTATACGTACATTGACTGAGCAATTATTTAGTGCCACTTAATAACCTTTTTCTATTAAAATATAATTATACTTTATTTTATGTATCATTCTTTATATGACATTAATTATTTTGCCACTTGACATTAAACTATGTCATAATCACAAATATTTTAATTGCATTTCATACTATTATGATTATTTCATGTATTCACACCTTTGACCTAATTCCCTCACTGCATATAATTTCTTTATAAAACCATATATATACGATTGTACAGCCTGATAATAAATTCGTTGAAAACAGTCTCTTCGCTGAATATTGTGATCTTAATACTACAATGGGAATTATTAAATTATTGAATAAACAATAAGACATCTTTAATGCAGAATGGCTTATATTATTTTCAAACAGCGGAAACAATAGATCTGTCCTCATCAGTTTTGTTATCTCCGGTAGTGAGCTTCTTTTCTTGTTATCGAAGTCCATTAAAGTACACCAATGTCATATATAGCGAATTAGACAGTTACCATGCAATGGTTTGTTGTATTACTCGGAGTACCAAACATTCTTCTTCTGAAACTTTGTCGCACTTTTCGCAACTGTTCAAATGATTTACTATTTTTCTTTCAGTCATTTACACCATAAGATAATATATATCTTTTTGTTTTGTTGGACAATATTTAAGGGCAAATTATGTGTGTTTTGTCTCATTTAGACCTCATCAGTTGACGTGATTTGCTATTTTCTACTAATATCTGAAAAATTATTAATATCTTTTGAATGTATGTTGTTTTTCGTTTACATCAGAACCTCATGCCCAAAAGAATGGCAAGCATGCTGTGATCCAACACGTTGTAAGCTACGTAAAGGCGCTGAATGTGCTGGTGGACCGTGTTGTGATATTGTGAAGACAAATCCAAATGGCAGTGGAAATCAGTCAAGTATCCAGTGTAAGCTAAAAGCATCCGGCACTATTTGTCGTAATGAATCAGGGAATTGTGATCTACCGGAATATTGTGATGGTCAAAGTCAATGGTGTCCAGCTGATGTGTACAAAGCTGACGGAGAATTGTGCTATACAGATGAAGGTCGCCGTGTAAGTTTTGAATTTTCGCATAGTCGCATATGCTTTTGATAAATACACATAAGTAGTATGTAGAATACATTTTTCAGAAAACCCATAGCAATTTATTCAATTTTGAACCACAAATCAATATCAGTTATATCGCTGGCTAGATCATCTCTGCACCGATGAAGAGCCCTGGACTGAGACGGAACAGCTGTCCAGTGATCTTTGGTTTTCAATGATTCTCTAACGGACATCAGTTTTTGATGAGATAGGCACTATAGGTAATTGTAATCCTCACAAACTCGAAGTTTCGATTTCCATTTCATTTCAGTTACCGCAAGTCAGACAGAAAAGTAATGATAGAGACTATTGGTAGTTTAGGCGAATAGTTTCAACTGTATCGCATTGTGGTTCCTCGTTGGTTTAGTTGTGGAGCTATTTCTTTTATTATTCTAAATATTTTCATAGGTGACTTTGAAGCCTTTTCTGGAAAATATTCATATCTTCGATCTCAAATATCCTACTAACGTTATTATCATTGTGCGAAACCCGTTTGTGTGACCAATTAAGCGTCTAAATCACTTTTTTATAGTTGGTTTGTTAGGATTAGTTTTGTTTTTACGAGTTGATCACGGATTGATATGAGTTAGAGAACCATTGAAAGCCAGCACTGGAGTACTGGACAGCTGTTTCATCCACCTAGTTTGGGAATCATCGGCGATACGCACCTACTGGGATTTTAATCCATGACATTCTGGTTACAAGGCAAGCTCGCGCTAAATCGCGAACTGGTAGAAGTTAGAATTCATGAGCCATTGAATCGGGTCCCAGTGGCTGAATGGTATACGAACTTGACTTGTAACCGGAAGGTCCTGGGCTCGAATCCCAGTGGGTGCGTACTGGCGATGATTCCCAAACTAGGATGAAACAGCAGCTGTCCAGTACTCCCTGGTTTTCAATGGTTCTCTAACTGATATCAATCCGTGATCAACTCGTTAAAAGATAACTAACCCTTGCAAAACCAAACTATAGAGAATTAATCTGATGCTCGCTAGTAACTTACTACAGGTTGGAGTGTCCTGAGTTCTAGTGAGAAGTCGTGACCAGTGAGGTCCAATTAGATGTCACGTGTGTGGATGGATGTCCCACCAACGACAATGGTTTGGGTCGCGCTAAATCACGAATTGGTAGAAGTTAGAATTCATGGGCTGGCCATTGAATTGGGTCCCAGTGGCTGAATGGTATACGAGCTTCTTGTAACCGGAAGGTCCTGGGCTCGAACTCCACTGTGGTGGGTGCGTACTTCCGATGATTCCCAAACTAGGAGGAAACAGCAGCTGTGCAGTGCTCCGTGGTTTGGTTTTCAATGGTTCTCTAACTGATATCAGTTTAAATTACTATTCGCTTTCTTCTCTTGACTAGAATCTGAGCCTACTATTAACAGATTGTATATTAACCAAAACCGACTCGTTGTGGTCTAAAAGCAGAGAAGAGATCTCTGCGTCCTACTGTATAGCTGTCCAAAACATCCTTGAGACACGCACAATCACAAAACTCCCCAAAGACACAATACGACAATTATTCGTTGATATATCTGTGTGGTGTTCTATCCAACAATAATGACATCCAAAACTTAAAATTACCTCAACAGTTTCGTTACGCAGCTATACAAACAAGGTAGCTTTCTAGTACAAAAAAAGTACTGTGGAACAAAATTAGTTTACCGAAATTCAACTATAGGAAGTACCTCAGAATCAAGTAGAACATTCTCAATAGGGTACTATCAAACCTCTGTTCACAAGAATTACGCATCGAACAATTCTCACAGAAAGTCGAAGGTCAGAATGAATTTCATACACTCAAACAAAGTCACATCGTAAAACAACACATCGACGTTGTCATTACACAAGACGTGAAAAGGCTCTCTGTCTTTGATCATAGATGCCTGCGTTCTTCCTCCCGTGTGAAGTGGTAAGTTTAATAAGGTGAGCAATATTGAGGTTAGGCATTGGTTGCTAGGTAGGTGGGAGGGGGAGATCAATCGACGAGGTTGTGAAGTTACATCGACTGAGGTGGTTAGGACATGTGTTACGCATGCCTAGTCATCATCGCCTTCCTTGACGGGCAACGTTAGCTGATATAGGGTCTGATTGGAAAAGAGTCAGTGTGGTGGTCAAACCAAAACATGGCCTCATCACTCAACGAAATCCACAACAGTTAGTTTAAGCCACATAGGAAGGTGTAGACTTCCTGGCTGATTGGGGTCGTCGGGATGGTAAAAGCCAATGGCTGGAGACAAGCGGTGATGTGGCTGAAAATCGTTCTCAATAGTTCAAATGCATCCACTCCTTGTGATTTATAATATCCGATAAAACTGTATTGTTCTTCGATATTACTATTCTTTTTGCCTCATATCTCTGTTCACTGTCTTGATTTTGCATTTCTTCTACCTTCTTCTCTTGCTTTGTGTGCTACATGGAGTGTGGTGACGCGAACTGCTGCACATCTGTGAAAAGTTTTACGTGTTGAAACTAGTCAGTCAGCCACATAAACACTGACGGAGGCATTAAGTTTAGAGACTAAACAGGGACAAAGACAATTAATACAGATTCAGTCAACAGATGATGATATTCAAACGTGAGAATAAAATGATATACAGTCTAGGAGAAGAACTGGTAACAATCACAATGTGAGTCGAAACATCTAAATAAATATCAACAGCGTAATTAGATAGTTAAGGAGGGATTTTCCAACCAATTATTCCGTTGCAGATTGTGTAGTTTGCAGCATGACCTGACCTGTATAACCGCCTATTGATGGTAGATAAAATAAGTCAATATAAATACACTATCATATTGTGCGTCGGTGGCACATTGGTTAGGACTCTCACCGACTATGTAAATGGTCCGGCGTTCGATCCCCTGCTGACGCACACCTGATATCAACTGGTCGGCGTGCAAGCGTATCACATGCTGAAAATTTCATACTTATACCGAAAATATGGTGTGGAATCAAAAAGTTATTTAACTGAAGGATGATAAACTGACTGCAGGAAAATTCACACAATGCTGCTGATTATTAAACGATTATAAAACGGCATCCTTTAACCTTTTACTCACCGATAAAAGAAAACAAGCAACAGTAAAGTCAGAGTTGAGGTATAAAACAGAAGTAATTAGAGTAGATGAAATTTGATAACTCTAGAGACATTTAAGCGAATCATTATGAAAGTCATATAAGATAAAAATTCATATCAATTCACTTATGTGTGTGTGTGTTCCGAATTCATTTCTCATTAATTTGTCCAATAGAATACTGAAATCTTTAAATATTCCAATTCATAAAATTAGAACAAGACATATAAGCGAAAAATATTGTTGTTTTCAATGAGATCTTCAGGCTTTACTCTAATTTACATAGATTTATATATAAAAATTTTTAACCAATGACGGTGATTTTTGTGAATCAAATAATAATAATAGTAATAATCATAATGTGGTAAATTTAATATCTTTCTATAGTTTGGTTTGTAAGGATTAGTTATGTTTTACGAGTTGATCATGGATTGATATCAGTTAGAGAACCATTGAAAACCAAACTAGGGAGCGCTGGACAGCTCCTGTTTCATCCTAGTTTGGGAATCATCGGAAGTACGCACCCACCACAGTGGAGTTCGAACCCAGGACCTTCCGGTTACAAGGGAAGCTCGTATACCATTCAGCCACTGGGACCCGATTCAATGGCCAATCCATGAATTCTAACTTCTACCAATTCGTGATTTAGCACGACCCCAACCATTGTCGTTGGTGGGACATCCATCCACACACGTGACATCTAATTGGACCTCACTGGTCACGACTTCTCACTAGAACTCAGGAAACTCCAACCTGTAGCAAGTCACTAGCGAGCATCAGATTAACTTTCTATAGTTTGGTTTGTAAGGATGTAAGGGTGCGTACTGCCGATGATTCCCAAACTAGGATGAAACAGCAGCTGTCCAGTACTCCTTGGTTTTCAATGATTCTCTAACTGATATCAATCCGTGATCAACTCGTAAAAAATTTAATATCAGTAAAGAGTTTGAGCATTGTGGATTAGATCAAATAAAGGCATAATTATATTTCAATAGTTTATACACAATGATAAGTTTTGCTATTGGTAATATTTCGAGCAAAATTACTGCGTGTGTTCACACCACTGTTGGAATTGTTTTATCCGAATAACAAAATTTATCATTGTTTGTAAACTATTGAAATATAATTATGCCTTTATAGAATTGAATTTTTTGATTTTCCCGTCGATTGATTTGACCGAAGTGCTCGGTCTCAGGTTGACATGTCGGCTTCTTGTGCAGATGCTTCGACGATGTCTGGGCATTTAATTAGTATTTAATTGGTGGATGGTGGCTAGCAGTGGAATCCAGGATGCGCATTTCGTCCTAATTGGGACTCGTCACCTGAATGTACCTCCATTTCTCAGTGAGTGGTGATGTTCCCACCGAGGCTCGAACCCAGTGCCATAGTTTCAAACGCCAAAGCGTTATCCACTAGACCACCTGGGCCACGAGAGCCACCTCTTTATTTAATGTGGTAAATGTTTTGAATGAAATTAATAACGATGATTATAATGGTAACAAAATATTCATAATAAGGTTTATACAGGTGATAAGAATAACAAAGATAGTATAGGTATTTATGTGTATATGTAGACAATTCTATAAATAAATAAATTAGGTCAAATCTTAAAAGGCGAAATGGAACGATAATCAGAGTTTAAATAAATATCATAAAAGTACGAAGGAGATGGAAGATAAGAAAGGGTGGGAGGGTTGTGAATAGAATTCACCTAGGCAAGTAACGGAGAGACAAAGGTAGAACAAACTTCTTTTGTATACAAAGACTAGGATTGCTCTCTCGAATTCCCATAGCTTCGGCTAAGTGTAAAAGACGAGTTCTGATTCCGTTCGAAAGACTCGATGGAATGCGATAGATAACTTTGAAGGCACTATTTTTGTCCACTGGTGACAG